TCTCTCTCTCTCTCACACACACACACACACACACACACACACACACACACACACACACACACACACACACACACACACAAATCTTGACTTGATTGCTTTCATACCGAAGCTAAAGGGATTAAATGTTATCACAGGTTATCCAAGATTTAATGGATTGTTCTAAAATTCGTATTTTCAGAGATGTTGTCAGTTGACAATTTTTTTTCAACACAGGAGACTATATTGATGAAGAATATGAGAAAGTTTTACAAGAATGGTTTCACTGGGAAGTGTTCGCTTTCTTGTGAGATATGAAGTTAGACGTGTTATATGCACGTCAGAGTACCTGAGGCGCTTCTACTGGTGTAACCTTAAAACTTCGTTTTCATTAGAGAAGGTGACCGTACTTAGTTGGAGTAATCATAATATACATGGCGCGAGGCAGACACTGCTTGCTGTTCCGGAATACAGTTAACCGTTCTTTTGTTCATACTTTGCCATGCTTTTATCTATTTTTAACTCTGGCACCACTTTGTTGATATTTTATTGATTTCTGACTTCTTTTAATATTCACTAATATACCCAAAGGCAAGGATGTTCATTTACTCGATATGGCAATATATTATTTATGCCCAATTGCTGAACTGAAATGCACCTATGTCTCTGTTAAAAAATGATCAGTTATACATGCTGCAATGCGATAATGTTAATTTCATGGTAATGAATTATGCGTAATTCATTAGCACTTTATTTTGTGTTTGATATCAAATTTAGTCAATGCATAGTGCCTGAATGTTGTGGATTGTTTGAGCTTTTCTCTCGGGGACGGTTACTCTGACTCAAGTTTTGAGAGCACATCGATAACTATATGTGTATTTTGACATCTGCTCATAGAATATCTCTATTTCTGATGCAAATGGTTGTTTCCTGTCTGTAAAGACATTTAATTATGTATATAACATCCACCGGATATTGATTGAGTTATATAGATTTATGAATATTTCAGAATCTTTCAATGTCGATGTTGTATCATTTTCTTCTGTGACGAAAACGAACATCAAGGGACTAATATCAAGTTATCCGAAATCTAAAATTTATGAATAAAATATATCAGACATTTTGTGAAAAGCCTTCCAGCAATCATTTGTCTGTAAAATTGTAAAATATATAAATCTATATTGGAAATCTATTGATATCAACTGACGCGAAAACAATGGTGAGACGAATTCTACCATTACAGAGGTGTAATACCTAATATCTATAATTATACCGCCAGTATAAAGTTACTAGAAAACAATGGTGAGATAAATGGATACATTCAATCAAGATCAAATATAGGCACGATCACACGTGAAAACTGTATGAGAATGTATTTGAATGCTTGTTGTGAATGTAATTTTTATTACACGATGTGAAATCGTGACTGATTAAAAAGTTTTCAGTATCCTTTAACCACAAAACAATTGTTCTACTGTCTTGTGACAAGTATTTTTTTGTTTTTTATTTTAATGGAGACGGATGTCCCGCACTGTTGACATATCTTTTTATATTTACTTTTTCCTAGAATGCCTGAGTGGAATAGAACGTTCTTTTTTTGACTTCATCAGCATTTGTCGCTATTTATTGATGAAAGCAATGACATGCACAATCAATATGCGACCAACACCACTGGGCTTCATGCAAGGATGAACGCCTAACAGTAATGCTGACTTATGTAGCAGACGTATAATATATCAGCTTACTGTAACACAGTCACATGCCAACCGCGTGTCCAGTATAACTATGCACTTTCAGAGATGCTGTTAACTTCCTGAGACCAGGTCTGTTTTTGTCTTATTCTTCAAGATCAAATCCGTGAATACCTCGGTTGGGTTTAACGCTATGAAGCGAAATGTCGAAAAATTGCCAGAAGAAAACATTTTCTTTTTCGACAAAACAGCACGATCCTGCTTGAAAGAACCAAATACAACTACAATGACAGTAACTGCTTGTTGTAATTTCTATTTTCGATATATTGTCCAAAGCAAAGAATGTGGTATTTCTTTGTAGAAACCTGTTATGAATATTGATTTGTAGATTATTGATGTCAAGCATTGCCACGTTACATATCACTACATATAACTACTCTTTTATGTTGAATCCTGTTATAAACATCCACAGACTAACATTTCAGCAGAACGACGTTCAGCTACGAGTAATGGTTGTTTGACTTGCTTTTCTCTGACCATTGTCCATGTAAAGTACACGTATCCCACATGGCACCCATGCGGGTAAACTCTATCTTAGATAGATGTGATGCCTCCATCTCGTGAATCAACAATATATAAGCGTGTTGGTAAATTGGTATTCTACACTCTGTTATAGAATCTGGGATCATAATCCTGGCGAAATTTCGGTTCTAACCTTCATTCAATACCTTCGGTCTAGTGGAATGTCAATATTCCACACTCTAAAGTACGGTTTGCTTTATCAATAATCTCCCAGTTTTGACATTAAACTCTAATGCGATGTTTAAGTACAAACAGACAGTCATTTTTTCCTGTCAATGTCAGTCCCTTGAGGAGGGTTGGAGAATTAAACCATATCCCATTGAGGAGAAAATGAAATGTGTTCTTGAAGCTTCTGTAGCTCGAAGGAGGCCAAACAAACGTTTTGTTATTCTCGTGACATTAAACTAAACCATTCACCATATTTCATCAGATATCGTTTTATCGCGTGCTTTGCTTGTGATTTTTGTTGAGGAAAAAAGAACGACAGAAAAGTGAACTAAGAAATAAATCGAACCGTTTGGCTGACGTAAAATATATTTAATAAAAATACAAGAATATACACGTATCATACATCAAAAACACGTAAGTTGCAACGAACTATTTGCAATCCAATGTCATGCGATATCAGTTACGCGGATATGATTTTTAAAATATATAAATGGGTTAAAACAAGCTTAGGCTGGGAGCGTTTTAGTTTATGTGTATACCCATCAACTAAGTCAAGGTGATAAGACATCTATTGATATCGAATTTCCACCTTTCGTCACAGCACAAACTTGCAGGACAAAGAAATTGCATTTTGTAAACTACAATCTAGTTCACAAAGCATGAGAAATGTGTTAGATTAATCACCAAAAACAAATCAGAAGTAACAAGAAGTTTTTTGAGGCTTATAAGAAATCAAAGAAGGCGTTCTACATAAATTATTCATTGCTAGATGGTGTTGTAAGTTTATTAATCTTTACAGTTTATGTGTAGTTGGCTACAATATTCATTGTCATATGCTTTAGAAATGTATGCTTTTCGAAATTCAGGGCATTTGTGTTGTTGGTTACACTACAAATCACAGCATATAACTTCATTACTGATATTCCGTAAAATTTCTCAGACCACAAGATGTCAGTAAAGAGATATTGGAACCATAGCTCACCTGAGTTCTTAGTACAGCATACTAGCAGCAACTAAAAACATTGATTTTTCTTTTTCAGGCACATATTTAACAGCTACACTTATTTTACTCTCCAAAATAATCGCTTATTAATTTTGTCATGCGAGGTTAGATACGAAAAAATTCGTCAAAAATCCAATATTTTCTATTACTGAAATATATCCGTTTAAAGTTTACTAAACGATATTCTGATTTACCAAATTATAGGAAAGGCAATGAACTATACTGCTCATAACATATACATATATATAGCTTGAATATTAAATTTTAAAAAGTAGAATGAAGTAATTTGACCTTAATAGCTTTTGAAATTAAACATATCAAAGAAAAAAAAGAATATTAGCAATGACAACAATTTAAAAAGACATAATATGTCTTCAATACTAACCTGCATTGCAAAGTAATATGATATATTATCATATATTTGAAAAAAATATATTATTAAAATGTATACTTTACAACCGTTTTTATGCAATATGAATATATACAAGTTGTTTTGATAGGTTACATCAAAAGCTATATATGTGCCAGGATTTTCAGGAAATACAGAAAACATTGCAAATATAATATAAGTGTTAAGCGTCTTTACAATAGATGCCATATATCATGATTATAAACATAGACACATGTAGAAGACTTTTCACAAGTAGTTTCCATCGGACGTTTAGAAAATATGTGTAAATAACTATATATATTAGCGGACAAAAGAAACGCGAAATATGTTGATGGATAAGAGGAAGGATGTGTGGTCTAAAGACCTGATCCCACTATGTTACTGATGGAAGTTTCCCATCGATAACCACGAGAGGTGTTTCCACGCCTCAAGAGGACACTGCCCAGACCATAACCGACCACCCCAAGAATATGTAGCTTTCCGTTACACTGGCGGCAGCATATCGTTCACCACGACGTCGATAGACACGTTATCGTGCAGCTGACCTCTTTAGCTTTAAGCGAGACACGTCAGTGAACTTGGCTCTATATCGACGTAACGCTCCTGGAATGGTCACCAAATCTCCCTGTGGCTCTTAGAAGCCAGACCTAAACATGAAATGCCCCTGCGGTATCAGAGCAATAGCCCAACCCCTATCGACTTCACACTATAGATTCGAAAACAAATGTTGTATAGCTGTCTGCACTGTTCCAGTGTTTGATATGTAATGTTTTACAAGCACATATGGTACAGGAGTACCCAGAATGCACGCTTTCTTGAAAAATATGCTGAGAGTATACAGTATCGAGAGAGATCACGCTCCGCTGAATTCTAACTGCAGTGTCTAAAAGTTATATAAAAACAGACCGAGCTTGCGCTTCCTTTTTCCCGCAGTATATATCATGTACTCTTATCAGTAATTCAAGAAATCGAAATCCTGATCTCCCCTCTTGCAATATCGTTTTATATCAATGGTATCAAGCAGTAAATATAAACACATTGTATTAAAATACGATATAAAATATAAAATAGATATAAAGGGAAGTAACCGTTAGAAAAACACGTTTTCATGGTTTCTTCTTCTATATATATATATATATAAGGGAGATAACACGATTTATGGTTGTCTTAGTGTAATATGGTGTAGAGATTACGCGTAGGACAAATACATCGGAGTGTTGAGATCTTTCTCGTTAGTTAACAATGCCGTTGTTGTAATGGGTGCATTGAAAAGTTCTGGCATGAACGCACGAAACATGGCATTGTCCTGTGGTCGTTCTTCAAGCATTGGAGCTACCGTGATAGCCATTTCTTGATCCACATTCTCCTTTCTTGGACATTCTTCGACTGCCGCCTACGAAAATAGTAACATTTTTTTTTCTGGTGAAAAGGTTTATTTTAATAATGAAAACAATATATATACATATAGAAACAAATTGTGTAAAAAAAATCTTAAACAATCAACGAAAACTAAATAATAATAATAATGATCAATAAAAAATAAATCAATGTAAAAGTGGTTTCAGAGACCAAGACAAAGTAAAACACATCGGTTTCACTTGCGAATACTCTCTCATGTTAGTATCTGAGGGACGCTTTTGAGGAAAGTAAACATTGTTAAAATCATCAGTGAATGATTGCCGCACATAGGAAACAAAATGATAAACCTTTTGGCTTTGTTTCAAAAAGAAAACAACGTAAAAAGACGGACAGATTTTGTCACTTTCATGCCTGCGAATGGTGTCATAATTCCTTGTAACTTGTTAACCTATGAGATGGCCCTTTAATGATCAAAACGTAACTATTTGAACAGCAAGTTATTTACTGAAATATTTGTTTTTATGTATGCCTTCAAGTGATTGTCCTACTGGGTAATAGAAATAGAGGTGCATTGATTTCGTTTTTTATTTTCTCTTTTTAGATTTATTCTTTGTTTTTGTAGTTGGTTTAAATCTTTGTATCTATACAAACAACTTTAACGGAAGTCGTAAAATGAACTATTGTTCGTTTCATTAATAGGACTTTTACATTATCAAATTTTGCAATTGTATTCCATTTCAAGGGAAAGCAACAACAAGCAATAAAAAATAACTGTCACAAATAGTGATCGAAATGTTTTCTAACCTTGCTCAACCAAGTGTCCCCGAAGATGTCTCGAATAGTCCTCACAATGTTGGCTGTATCAAGCTGAGGGTTGCTACCGCTCCCAGGAAGGTAGCCTTGACAAGTAAAAAATGACATGATGTAAGATTCAGAGACGTTGTTTAGACTATTTAGGTAAACAAAATGTTTTTTTTTTTTTTTTAAATTATACAAGAAACAAAGAAGTATATGATAAAGAAACACGCGAAATGGATTCTAGTACATTCATCCATTAGGTGGTCAAAACACATTATTTTATGCATTTATTAAAAAACAACACATATGGTCAGAAATAACTTTTGGATAGATAGTTTAACCTAAGAGTATTAAGGCAAATTGTTTTGTTGACATTTCTTCCTTGGCATGCTTCCAATGTTTTTGCTATTTTTAAATTTTTGTATTTTTTTCTCCTCTTATCTTCTTTCTTTTCCTTTTTATTTATAAATGCAGTGTTTTCTCAACGGGAGTTTATTCTCTATTCAATGCAGTAAGAAAATGCATTTGTGAGATTATGTGGTATAGGAGATACTGTAATTAATGTTTGCAGCAAACGTGGTATTGTTGGAATTGACTTATTATCTTAGTGTATTTAAAGAGGAATTGTCACGGTATTCAAAAAAAAAAAAAAATAAATAAATAAATAAAAAGGAACAAAAGAAGAAAAATGGAAATACTGGTCAATGCACAACGATGCCGTGTAAGAAAATTGACATTTGCGATTAATATCGTTTTCCTAAGGTAGATGATTTCTTCTACGTCTTTGAGCTGAATGCTCGTCTGGTGGTCTTAACAACTGTATCTATACGGAGGTACCCATTATATCACAAGTCTCTTATTCCTCTTAATGAAATCAGTTACCTGAAGCGAAAACAAGGCACTAGGTCAGGTCAGCAAGAAACGTGCTATACTCTTAAATCCGATCATGCTATCAAAATATGGAAAATGCATAAATATTGGGAGAGATATTAGTACTTACGATTGAAACTGTTTGTTGTGAACGTGGATCGCGTGTGTTTCTTTTTGGTGATTCCGAGCAAAGCGTAGACAGTCTTGGTCAATAGGTCAATCATTCCGAACGTATTTGGACATTTTGCTGTATCGCTTCTAACAGTATTGATGCTCTGGTTTAGAATCACTGCAAATATCGTCATCAGGATCATCATGACGAATAGAACATAGGAAAAGTAGAACAATTTAGCCAACGTAGGTGAAGCATGTATCATTATGTCCAGTTTGTTTTTACCTATGAGGGAGTTGCTAAGGCTTCCGATTGCAGTGAATACGCTTCTGTAATCATACATCTGGGATCCGAAGATAAGGTACCCACACATAGCCCATGCAAGGAATGCAATGCTGAATATGATTGCAAAACCTAATAAGTCCGCAGCTGCATTTGATATGACGCTGGCTAGTTCTGACATCCGCTTGTTATAACCGAGAAGTCGAAGTAGTCTTATGTTAGCGATGAAGACTAATATGGACGATATGATATTAAACACCAAATCCCATATGACTACATGATTGAAATTGATAAAAGAGTCTATGTTATTGTAGTACAAGTTCATTGCATGTTTCGTGTAGATATACCTCAGAACCCATACCGTTACAGCTACAAGGCTCATCACCACGCAAAGCATGTCAACCAAGTTCCAGGAAACGCGTAGACATCGGAAGCCATCACTTTTCAGCTTCAAAATCAACTTTATTGTACCAAACAACAAAGCAAATACGTAAATCAAGTAGCAAATCAATGCATAAACACCAAGGGCACCTGTGTGTTGGTAGGGTCGGAAAGGGTGGACGTCAACCCTTGTCAGAAGGCCGCCATTTCCCGTGAACTCCGTTAGAAATACCATATACACGAACAAGTTAATATTGGCATTGTAAAGTGTAAATTCTAAGAACACTGCTCTTGTTTCTCTATTGATCCACCGATAACGTATCAGTTCCTCGACAATGAGTCTGGAGCTCTCCAGCCTGTTCTCTAGCTCCAGTATGTAGCCTCCTCCCCCATACGTACCATAGTCGCCTGTTATAGGTGTGCCCCAAATGTCTTCGGACTGTTGATATCTCCAAGCATCCATAGAATATAAGTAAGGACTGTTACAGGTTGATGATGTATTGTCGTTCCATCCAACACAATAAGACCGATCGTCTTCATCATATATGTTATAGTCAGGAACACAGTATCGATTTTCGACCAGTTTCCGACACTTACCTATAAGGAGTAGTAAAATTGATTTATAAGGATTCTGGTACGATACCATACTTTAAGATAAAATGTCCAAATTGCGGAGACAGCATTTTTAGTTTATTTTCTGCTGATTTATTGATAATATATACAAGAATTACATATTTCTATTATTTTAAGGAAATACACTGATATCTTAGAGAGTGACTTAAATTTTTTAGATTTACTGAATAGATTAAAGTGTAATATTGCAAGATCCGGAAACAACACAATGAAAAATGCACTCACCTACAATACATTACACAGAGAAAAACCAGCGAAAGTACAACTACGTTTTTGAATGTTATTTTAAGTGGAATGACAGTTGATATGATTGCAAACGTATTTTCTCACCTCTGACCATTCGGACGAGGCGAAGACGTGAAGGACCTATCTTCGCGTTATCGAGATCACTAATATATAGCCGATCCAACACACCCAAGGTTTTTCCATTGTAGTAGGAAATTGGAAAATAATGCTGGTAGAACGTGCCATTTAACCATCTCAAGAATCCCTGTACATCACGTATCTGATATAATAAACAAATACAGTCGAACATCGTTACCTCGAACTCATATAACTCGAAGACTCTGTTTAATTCGAAGCATTTCATAGGTCCCTACCTAGCTTTACAAAAAAAATCAAGCTCAAGAGAATCGAATGCTCGGTTATCTCGAAGATTCCCCATGGTCCTGAGATAAACGAGGTTCGACTCCATGATTAAATCCTCCATACCGATTACTTATTACTAGTAAGTATGTGTTCCGATATATCATAAGCTGTTTCCAAAAGTTTCTTTTTTGAAGATGAATTCGACTTCAAATGTGATATATAGAATACCTTTCATGATGTCTGAAAAATTAAAAGGCAAATATCAGGAAGGAATATTCGATATATATTGAAATTCCTCCTTAATTCCATCAAAACTCTGTCGTTAAAGAGATATCACTGTAAGAAACATTATTCTTCATATTGATTCTGCGTGTTTTATACACTTCCAGTGACGTGCTTTTGTAATATTCACGGTCGAGTAGCCACTGAATTAATCCAGGTACCTCTCTCAAATTTTACCGTGATGTCACTTTACAAGTGGTTCATCATCATAAAGTGACTAGCAACAAAATATTAAAATCATTTTTAGAATATACCATTTTCATTACGTATCTTACTGTTTTGCCGGGAAACAAAACCTTGAAGACTCATCACATTCTATTGAAAGGTTACAAATTCTGATGAAAATAAAATGATAAGTTGCAAACAATAGTGATGCCAAACTAAATTTGTTTCACACTTCAGTGTAGTTTTCCAAATGCCAATATACCAAAAAGGATGTATTCATACATTGTGACATGATAGTAGAATTTTAAAAAAAAGTTGTGATAGACGATGTTTAAACTTGTAACAAGTCGAAATATATTTACAATATTTATGACGACTTGGTTGATTATATTTCAATTATACGAACCTGCTTAAATCCAGTTTTAGGCGGATCCATCATGTCAAGGAGATGCGTTTTGAATTGATAGGATCGCACATCCCTGTCAATATAGCTGATACTAAAAATAACATACGAAAAGATGATGTAGAAGATGGTCTCCAAGAAGGCTTGAAGAGCTTTTCTTTCCTTCTCATGCTGTATACGTACTTTCCTAATCGTTGCGTTGTCAACAGAAGTGTCTTCGGATAAAATGGACGACCGAAAATCTATAAATGATCGAAAATGTTAAATAATCAATTGAATTCCTATGCAAGGTATATCTCGAACACAGAAGCAACAAAGAAAACATAATTTTTATTCTAACTCAAATTTGATGAAATAAGTTCAAAAAAAATATGAAACGAATTATTTACAAGGAGACTCATGAAAAAATAATACAAGGAGAAAATGTCAGTTGTTCCGGAAGAGTAAGCACTTTATGATTCATCGAGCACATCGACCCTATAAATCTTGGTCTAAAGCAATGAAATTCAATAGCATAAATTAAATGAAAAAATGCTTTCAATAGTTTGTACATTACTCATAAAGATAAATTTATTTTGCACATTTTTGTACGCTCCAATTACAGTGGAAAAAATGTTATAGTGCTAACTAAATTCTGATTTATGATAGCATCAATTCATTATTTCTTAAGCCTGTAAAATTCAGGTACTAGTACACAAAGAAAATTGTAAAAACGCTAGTTCACTTAACATATCAATTCATGAATTAGTCATGATAAGTTGATATTATTCATTGTGCAGAATTACACCACCTTATCGTTTAAAAAACCCCCTGATACAATACTGAAACTATTTGCACCAATTGAATTGATTGTACTCACATATCAGATCTCGAATCTTACTACCATTCATTGTCATTGCAAGTTCACGAACGTTTTTTAAATTCATTTTCGGAGCTTTGTTATGAAATGGTTTCCGGCAGATGATTATTGGCACCATGGCCAAAAATAACACCTAAAAATACAACATATATTGATTATAAAGAGGACGCATTATAAAGACAAAATCTCCTATGATATTTAAAATGTAAAGGTGGGTCGAACCGTTTATGACATATAATGGTAACAGTGCATTATGTTTTGTGTTTTAGTATCTATTACAATATGCGTGACATAAAATAATTCGTACCTATTACAATATGCGTGACATAAACTCAAAACAAAACAATGTTCACATCTAAATTTCAATCTTATGTTTAATGATGTTTAAATTTTATAAATAAATAGGATTTTATTTGTTTTGTTACTACTTCATTTTATGAAATACTTATTCAGAGAATCATGTATAAATCTAGTTTCATTATTCTTCATCAAATTTATGATGCTGTTTAATTCATTGTTTTGCTCTACTGTTTCGCACTCTTAATTATGAAAATAAGTTATTAACTTGTGTGTTTTTCGTACAATATTTGATATATATATATAACCTCTGAGACATAACATCTCTTTTGAAGATCGTGAAATATTTGTAAAATAAATAATTTACTGCAACACACTAGAATTTCTTTATTTATCAAAACATCGATTACATATAATAAAATTATCGTACCTTCATTGGATCGACGAAGACAACGGATGACATTGCAGAGAGGAAAAAAGACAACAACCATTCCTGCGATTTGCTTGGCCCCCAGTGCATACTGAAGAGGATTAGGAAAAATGCAGATGCAATGACAGCAAGGGCGATAATTACCCAAGCTATGTTTCTAACGAAGGCCGGAAGAGGCAGGTGATCCATAGAATAGAGCATTACGTCATTGAAAGATGCGTTCTGTCGTCCATCAGCCAGATACTTATGCTTGGTCTTTCTTGATTTCGGTGACTTTTGTTTAGAATATGTAAACAGTAATGTAACCACTATGACTGGAACGGTTGTAGTGAGGATACCAAAGACAGATATATATACCGTGGATAAGGAAAACCGCATTATCCCTACCGAAACATGTGCTGTTGACGTGGTCTCTTCCGACTCCGACTTAAAGAACATGGCATTTGTTATCATGGTAAGAAATAACAGCATAAGAATGCAAGAGACTCGTTGGAATCGACTAAAGCTGCTTCTTTCCGGACGTATAAATGTAGAAAACCATAGGTGGTCTTCAGTAATACCATGTCTCACGTATTCAGGAAATAAGGTGTTAAATTCACTCAGTTTTTCATTGGTGCATGCCGGAATGGTTCTAACAGTTTGTCCATCTTCATGATCTGCAGATAGCCAGTTCTCGCAAAGGAACACATATCTAAAACAGGTAATAATGATAACTAAGCACTTATTCTTTCCATTGACATGTCAACAAACAAACTCATATTTGTCCATATTTGTTTGCTTACTGTATTGCTAAATGGTAAATAAATTAAGTTTAGATAGAAATATATGCATATAAGGATTAGTAACCTCCTAGAAGAGTTGATCAATTTTGACTGGTTGGTGGTGGGCAGTCTTTGCCTTGGGCATATTAAGATTTTCAGGAGAGAGGTATAAATTGCCAGATTTAAAATAGGATCATTCATAATTGGCATTGGCTTTAGATTTGAAGTGGACAACTACGAATCACGATAAAACGGTCATTAAGTTTACAAGGCGCATACAATCTAAGTCAGTTTAGCTTGAAGACTCTTATTCATCATACCTTTTATTGATTTGTAGATCGTCAATCGTTATTTTATGTAGATTCCAGGAGGCGGTGTTTCCCTTACCAGAATTATCATGCCAGATTCGAATATATTGTAGATTTCCGAGGGATTCAAATGTCCCCATAATGAACGTGCGAACACTACCAGTCGGAAATCCCTAAAATATGTTAAATATCAACCTTAATTTAAAAAGAGATAAACAGTGTCATTTGAAATAGGGTTCTTTTCGATAATCGCAAGAATGAATCTCGACAAGTTCATCATTATCAGATCTTGTTTAATTAAGTTCAATTGCAATGTACCTGCTACATCAAATATGTGTACCAACATGTGCATCCCATTTCCAAAAAAAAAAAAAAAAAAAAGAAAAAAAGAAATAGGGAAGTATGAACAAAAGCAGAATAAGATCAGGTGTTCCGGAAGAGTAAGCGCCTTCTGTTTCATCGACGATATCCGCCATATCGGTTGTTTATCTTAAACACTATTCTAAATGAATAATTCCATTTTCTTTGTCATGCTTACTATATCGTCCATATGGTTGTTCATTTCTTTATGATAAAATTTGTTTTAAGCATACTTACAACTTCTTATCAAAGCAGTAAACTAAACTATTGGTCTCCTAACTAAACACATCACACTTTTAATTGAAAATCAATAAACGAGGAGATTAAAAAAGAAATTAGAAGATACAATATATGTAAGAAAGAAAACAAACACATGATTTGGAACGGTAAACATTGTTTTTTTCGTCGATGGATAACAGTGTTACATTAAAAGTACTGAAAATGTGTTGGATATAGCATTGTCAAAGTTAAAATAAAGAATCATATGCCTGTTAATATCCATTAATTATAATTCTTATAAACTTAATAGCGTCCATTGTTCCATAAACTGATATAATCAATAAATCAATCAATACTTACCGTTTTATGTCCATCACTGAGAATTCTGACACCTGTATCCATATCATCACTCCCAACAACGAAATTTACGTTTGATTTTGTACCTGATCCACGTCTCATGGATGTATGGATGGTTAACAGATAGAAACTGTTGTCAGTGCTATCGCTGTCACACAGGAACTTGGTTTTCCACTGTTTGAATAATAATAATTTAAATGCGCAGACAATATAACTTCCAATTACGTTTTCTAATATAGACGATATCGGAATTTGGCAACTTTTGGTAGGAATTCTGCACTCTCTGTGTTTTGCAACTTTTGGTGGGAATTTTTCACTCTTTGTGTTTTGCAACTTTTGGTGGGAATATTGCACTTTTTGTGTTTTGCATCTTTTGGTGGGAATATTGCACTTTTTGTGTTTTGCAACTTTTGGTGGAAAGTTTTGCACTCTTTGTGTTTTCCAACTTTTGGTGGAAAGTTTTGCACTTTTTGTGTTTTGCAACTTTTGGTGGAAAGTTTTGCACTCTTTGTGTTTTCCAACTTTTGGTGGAAAGTTTTGCACTCTTTGTGATTTGCAACTTTTGGTGGGAGTTTTGCAACTTTGGATATTGTACAAAAGACTAACAAGTAAGTAAGACATTTTGATACAAATTTGAAGTCAAACAAAGTAGAAGCAAACAATGAATCAAGCTGCATCATACAGCTATTTCGTCCTTCTAGGACTCGTCAGTGATGCTACATCATACAGCTGTTTCGTCCTTCTAGGACTCGTCAGTGATGCTACATCATACAGCTGTTTCGTCCTTCTAGGACTCGTCAGTGATGCTACATCATACAGCTATTTCGTCCTTCTAGGACTCGTCAGTAATGATACATCATACAGCTGTTTCGTCCTTCTAGGACTCGTCAGTTATGCTACATCATACAGCTGTTTCGTCCTTCTAGGACTCGTCAGTGATGATACATCATACAGCTGTTTCGTCCTTCTAGGACTCGTCACTGATGCTACATCATACAGCTGTTTCGTCCTTCTAGGACTCGTCAGTGATGCTACATCATACAGCTATTTCGTCCTTCTAGGACTCGTCAGTGATGCTACATCATACAGCTGTTTCGTCCTTCTAAGACTCGTCAGTGATGCTACACCATACAGCTGTTTCGTCCTTCTAGGACTCGTCAGTGATGCTACATCATACAGCCTTTTCGTCCATCTAGGACTCGTCAGTGATGCTACATCATACAGCTATTTCGTCCTTCTAAGACTCGTCAGTGATGCTACATCATACAGCTATTTTGTCCTTCTAAGACTCGTCAGTGATGCTACATCATACAGCTATTTCGTCCTTCTAAGACTCGTCAGTGATGCTACATCATACAGCTATTTCGTCCTTCTAGGACTCGTCAGTGATGCTACATCATGCAGCTATTTCGTCCTTCTAGGACTCGTCAGTGATGCTACATCATACAGCTATTTCGTCCTTCTAGGACTCGTCAGTGGTGCTACATCATACAGTTGTTTCGTCCTTCTAGGACTCGTCAGTGGTGCTACATCATACAGCTGTTTCGTCCTTCTAGGACTCGTCAGTGATGCTACATCATACAGCTATTTTGTTCTTCTAAGACTCGTCAGTGATGCTACATCATACAGCTATTTCGTCCTTCTAGAACTCGTCAGTGATGCTACATCATACAGCCGTTTCGTCTTTCTAGGACTCGTCAGTGATGCTACATCATACAGCTATTTCGTCCTTCTAGGACTCGTCAGTGATGCTACATCATACAGCTGTTTCGTCCTTCTAGGACTCGTCAGTGATGCTACATCATACAGCTATTTCGTCCTTCTAGGACTCGTCAGTGATGCTGCATCATACAGCTGTTTCGTCCTTCTAGGACTCGTCAGTGATGCTACATCATACAGCTATTTCGTCCTTCTAGGACATGTCAGTGATGCTGCATCATACAGCTATTTCGTAACTTTTGTACTTCAATATTACTTTTAAAGACGGGATTCTCCTTTCTCTAAAGAAAATAATAATGTTGATGTTGCTTAATACAGGTAATAGCCGAAGACACGTTATGAAAGAGCAGACGTGATGTCATACGACGATAGAGTTTCTGTCTCTACCCCAGAGTAATCAAGAAAACTATATTCTCTTTCAGTTGTTTAAGTATGGATACACCTGTCATTTGTAAGATGATAAGATATTCTATGATGTTCAATACGTGTCCATGTGTACAGTAAAACCTTGATGGAATATTTCTATATTTATATTGAATAAGAATTTTGTTAATATGAATACATCATGCATATTGTCATTTATGTCGTTTAGATATTAAAACCATGGAATAAATTACAGCTTTTAAATGAACTTTTTTGATGTTTTCAATTACATGCCTCAGGAATGTCACCGTTCCTTTTGGTTTTCTGATGACGTAATATGCGACCGCACAAAAACATATGTTCTGAACGCTGTATTTACAGCTAACAATAAAATGTGCCTAAACCAAAATTAACATACAATGTTTTATGAAACGACACTCATAGGAAGATATTTACCATTTCGTTATCTTGTCGGTCTCTCCGTCTGGCCCATATGCACACCATTATGTACAATACCACTACCGCTATGAGCGTACCGTACACAGAGGCATTACTGGCATCAAACTTTGACCAAACAGTCGAGAAATTTATACTGTTGGCGAATGTGGTTGCAAACATATTTCCAGTGGCACCAGGACAGCTGCATAAAGTCTCGTTCAATGTGGAAAAGGGGAGAACCTTAAGATGTAAAAAGAGGATTGTTAAATGAATAGAATACGAAAAAAATAAAATGCAATCAATGTGTTAATATCAATGGCAGATAAACATATTGAAATATCTAAAAAAAAATTTATAAATTGGATAAAAGCACGAAATCTGGTTCAAATGTACTTTTATTCAAAAGTGAAATGGCTCTTATTTGCCAGTTACCTACTAATGAAACAACAGTACTGAAAATTCACAAAATCATGTAGAATTGACAAAAAAGAATACTGAAAGCGGTCATGCTAAGTCTAAGGCATTTTGTAAGATACATGTATATATGAAATGGAGGCAACAATAAGAAAAGGTAAAACTAACAGTGCAACCAGTGGATATCCACATTTGATCATTTTCATTCCAAGTGCGGCAACCAGTTGTCACAATCACCATAGTGAAGTTGACGTCAGCAGGTTCAAACACGCGTGTTGTATTTGATAATGTTGTTTGGTTGGTTAAATTTTGATCTGCCGATCGCCTTCTTCGCAATCTGTTACTTATCTCGGCTGGTGGTGGTGCTGTATAAAAAAAAAAAAAAGATAACTCAAATTGTACATTCTGTATCCTATGTCATTCTGAGGGGGGTGGGGGCAAACGGGATAGAACTGAAAAATATATTGTTGTCAATGTTTTTTATGTGCTTTTTTTTTTTTATCGTTTTTAAGCAATGTCGTAAGCGACGTGAAAGTTATCCATAACTTTTAGGAACTTGACAATGACAATTAGTTTATAAATTCGGTAGAAATATTCATGAAAAAATTATACTGATACATAAACTTTTAAAAAACAAAAACAAAAAAATAAATAAATAAACAATAAATAATAATAAAACATAAAAATAATAATAATTAAATATCAATATCAATATATATATAATAGTTGTCTTTACTGAAGTTCTTTCAGCATGCTTACCAGTAAGTGGATTCAGTGCCAAAAAACTCCTGCCAGTACCGAGTGTATTTTCCGGCACAAACACTTTGAATCCGTACTCAGTATTAACCCAGTCCCTAATTGTCATGCTATACGTCCAATCAAATATTGAAGTTGACGGAATATCGTTATAACGAACATATACGTCATACAATGCGAATGAAGTGAATTCAAATGGATTGAAAGTTTCAGGTCGGATATAAAAAATCACGGCATCATTTTCACTCGGCACATGAAATGTAAAATAGAACATTTGGTCTGGACCATTCTTGATATAGAACGGCTGGTAAGTCTTGGAGAATGCCACTCCTTCATTAGATATCTGCATACTCATACTTAGGTTTGCCCTGGAGCCGTTTAAGTGTTTGATATCTACCATGATTCCTTTTGATGTCAGTTTGCTTGCCCCTCCACCGTGATATTGTGGTATCTTGTTACAGACTGCAGTCTGAATAAACAAATTGTTTACATGTATAAATGTTCTCGCTTTAATGTGATATTGGGTATGATAAATGTAAAATGTAAAAAAGTGACGAAATCGACTAATAATTTCCGTATTAGTTTTTTGCTGTTGTATCAAGTTTATGTGGTTGGATACCAGTTTCAAAACTATGAAAATTAGAAACCCTCCAATAACAGCAATGCATCATAAACATCATAACGGAACGCTTTCACAATTCTTTCCACCATTACGTTGGATAAGCAATATTAAATAATACTGATGTTTTGTTTGTTTTAAATATCTGGTCTATCGTCTCCAATAATGAATATGTAAATGGTAGAAATATGTACTTCACCTGAAAAAGGAGGAGGAGATAAAGAAATAGATGATGATGGTAAAGAAGATTTCCGTTTCTTTAAAATTCTTACTTTTATTTGCAATTCTTCAGTTGTATTCCAATTATCGGTGGAATTGCTGAAATCCATACTGAAACTGGCTGTGTTCTGTGTTAGATTGAATAGACGTTGTAAAGTTGTTTTCACCAATGTCATGATCACATTACTTTTCTGAATAACAATTTCAGGTTCTCCGACTAAAATGGTGTTTCCAAGAATATCAAGAGCCTTTTCCAGAGCTGCCATCATATTATATGCGGAAACGTTGACCTGCAACACATTCAGAATTATTTTTATAACAAGAGAAAATTACAAATGGTAAAATACGTGTATCAAGCAAATGCTTTTTGAGCAAATGATGAATAATGTTATGGATTTACTAAAACCTTAAGGTAAGCTTACTGTCGTGATGTAGACAAAGATATCGCAATTGGAGGAATAAGACTCTTAAAATTCAGTGTTTGGTAAAGCCGATTACTAGACAAGAGATATTGTATTAAATAATTTTTCATATAGAACTATTCTTGCTTACATGAAAAACGTATCTGCCTGAAATTAATTCCTTTTCATAAATGACGTCAGTTAATAGGATACTGAATGATTGATTATCTGAGCCAATATCGTGTGCTTCGAAGGCATATTTTCTTACTTCAATTTTTGCTGGTTGAAAGGGAAAATGCGGAATATATAGAACATCGATGGTAGTAAACAGTATGAATGTCAATTATCTTACCATGTGAGACATCGATATTATACAACTTTTAGAGCAAAATGGAAAGACAGGAACATAAAGGACACAATGATATTGCTAACCGAATATTTGTATTCATAATTCTTTAATGATGTTTTCGTAAAAGACATGTGCAGTTTAAGGAACAGAAATTCACATTTTGGGAATAACAACACTGTTAAGTATGTGGAATATAAAAACAAGAAAATATTGATTGTAATCGTTTTGAAAAAAATGTTGACAAGAGTGCAAAATATTAGCAAAAGATTTATATTTGAACTCTTTTCAATGGCACTAAGAAGCAAAGACAAGGAGTTACTGTAGGGAGAGCGGATCCTCTTTCATCAACGGCACCCGACATGAAAAACCTTGACCAGACAAGATTAGCACTCTCAAATGAGAAGGACTCACGCAACTAAACCAGGCAATGAGCGACTGGGATTATGTTTTACCCTGTTAGACTCCCTACCAAAATTGAGATGTGGTAAAAGATTGTGGACTCCGGTTGTTTAAATTTATAATACACAAAAGAAATCGGCATTTATTTGACTTCCTAAAAATGTATAGTTTTAATACATCTTAATGTATATGGGGCGGATTTAGACAGGTGAAAATGTCGGGGTTTTTGACTTAATGGGTAGTTAGTTTCACTTGTAGACGTCCGTTTTGTGGCGTCTGAAGATGACGACAGTCCGAGATTCCATTCAACTTACTAAATTGTGCCGATTGTAGCCTTTGGCAAGTAATTTCTAAGAATATAGACAGTTGTTACTTGTGTTAAATTTGAAATAAAGTTATTAGCTTAAATGCTAGATAATAACATATAGTGACTGATTTAGTTGCGTGAGCCTAAAACAGGATTGATTAAAACGAACTCAACAGAATAACTAACAAATTTCAAAGACATCGATAATTATCTTGCACATGGAAAAGATGTTTTCCAACAACGAGAGAGAGATGGTGATCATTCAAATCCCTCTTTATCATCTAGGTCAAAGGTCACAGTCATGATCAAATGGTCAAAAACATGGGTACCGCCGGAAATGACTTAAAGAACACACATGCCAAATATGAAAGCCCTCCCTCTTGCGGTGCGATAGTTATGGGCAAGGTTTTAAAGTTGACAACAGCAATTAAGACAGACAATCCTATCCGGGGACATAGAAAGAATCAAAGTACTGAAAGTACTGAGAGGCTAAACGTATTGAAAAATGTTCACAAATAACCGCTAAGCTATATTACTTTCCCCATACTCCTACACTTTGGAATGCAAAAATTACTAAAATAAGAGAACCAGAGGCTATTTTTCTTAATTTTAAGCGATTTTATATCTTCTTTAATTCCTATTTCAAATTTGACGACAATAATGTGAATAAATCAAAATAGGTAAAAAAAAAAAAAAAAATATTTATCGCCAACAAGCCAAATGATAAATAGCTCTATGATGAAGTTGACTAAATAAAACCTTTGAATTACCGAAGATGTTGCAATTACTATCCTATCAATATGAGGATTTAAACAAATAGAAAGGACTTTATACCTACTTCTTTGAATGTATTGCAAAGTAATAGTCCTTACTTATTATAATTATATTTGTAGTTGAGGAAAGTAGATAAGGTATACACAGCATTTCAGATAGATAAAAGTGTAAGTAATTACATTAAATGTATTTACATGCCTATCTTCCTTGAAGTATCATGGTTAGACTTTTCTTCCAGTAATTATGTCTATAAAGGCATAGTTCTATGAGATTAAACCAGACTTCCATATATATATACAAAATTTATAATATTTTCACTATAGCTACTACTATTTCTTTCTAGTTGATAATTCAGACCAAGCCCCCAGACTAGCTTCTTATCATGGCGCCAACTCGCACGTACAGTGTTCTGTACGCTTACGTCATGTCGAGAATTCCGTAAAATATATTGTTCAAAATTTCTCAATAGTTCAACCACACTGTGCTTCTTTTTTGAAATATATAGTAATCGTACTGTTATTAAAAACATAAACTAAAATTGAATGCTTTTAAAATAGCGATTTGAAAAATCGCGGCATTATTTACGCAGAAAATTGCCGCTAGAGGGCTCTAACTCTTTTCGATATTTCAGCCAACGAGAAGGCCAGGATCGGTAAATTTTGTCTGAAAGGCCGTCACAATAGGCTATGCGTACTGAGTACGTTTAGCCTAAAAATTGATATTACTTCACCTGACCGGACTCAAGTCTTGTATTAATTTGTCCATGCGTATTGAGAATCTCTCTGTAAGCGCTTTGTATCCGCTCCTGTCGCTCGGCCCTTTCCGCGCTTGTGAGAGTACCATTTATAGGATTTGCAATCTCATAATCTTGAGCAAAATTTTCGTAAGTGACTGGGTCAGCAAGGCTGGTAGTTTCAGGAACTAGTTTACCGATGGCAATATCGACGATGTCAATGGCACCTGTTATTAATTATAGAAATATTAGCAACAAAATAAAATGACACTTTCATATATTCCCAATATAACCATCAAGATTAAAAAGATCACTCCGAATACAAGCATAAACTTGATTCTCGGCTCAACCAATATTCTGTAACGTTGTCGTGTACTGATATGTATTCCACAGCGCAGAGTCAATAATCTCGTTTTTTCAGCAAATATTCACAAAAGTTAATAGACTCACCTGATATTCCATCAAGAATGTTTTGCCAGTCTTCAACAGGAAATGGTCTCATCCTTGTCAAGCTTTCCAAATTATTGACAAGTTCTAGTGCAGTCTCCACACCAATATCCTGTAATATTTTACCAAACTATTTAATACAACAAAACATGTAAGTGCATGTCATCTTTTGTAACTGTTTATTTGTTCTTTGTGTTCATGTGTTTTTATTTATCAATATTGTATTGAATTAAAAACTGACAAAACTATCATTACATTAAACAGAGATGTTTCTAAAGCGGAAAAAAAAAAAAAAAAAAAAATCAGTAGCTATACAGAGTATTGGGCACCTGCTCGATGTTTTCATGACGTCAAATTTGTACTCTCGAAGTAATGACAGTTTTGGCTGTATGGTCTTTTTCATCATACAGATTAAAAAGGAATGACTCCGTGTAAATAGAAATCTTTTTCATTCATGAACGGTACCTCACTTTAAGAAATGATTAAACTCAGTAACCATATCAAATGAAATCCTTTGTATAATTAACACCTTGATAATTTTTCGAATCGTGATATTTAAACTTACCACCGAAGATTCGTTTACAATGTTCAAATTTCTTAAACAGTCTTTGGTTTTCTGCATGACATTATTTGTGTCAGCAGCATTCAAAGCATCGCTTGAATCAAGTGATACCGCACCGTTTAGAGTCAGCAATAATTCGTAGTTTTTCTGTGCAAAAATAGGATACAAAACAATTAAAAGAAAAACAATATATTGCTACTCGCGTGAAAGTCTAGCTTGTATTGGATCGAACTCTATAAAGTTAAATATATACTTGAAAACTCTATCAAACCAGACAGTGTTGTAGTATACCGAGTGGCAGAGAAGATTAGTTTGTTTTTGGAGCACAAACGTTTTAGAACAGACAGACAGACAGACAGACAGACAGACCTTTTCGCAAGATACACATTTGACTACTTTTATTTTCTAAAATGGATTAACATTCCGACCATTTTAGGCCATGTTACAGATTTAAAACTGTTTTGATTAAAATGTCCCTCAACGATTTGAAATGAAAAACACCAGCAGTTTACAGAACACTGGCTGAAGTTGACAATAATATAAAACATTTAAAACAAATCGGCCGGTACACTTATGTATTAAAGTGTTAAAAAGATTCCAGCTGGCATGGGTCCTCGTATTAACGTATCATGCCAGAATACATATACCGGATAGCATAGTATCAGTATCGAATTTGGAAACTCGTTGCTTACCTTCAACATTTCATCGTCCAAAACGCTTCTTCCGTCTGTGGATGACTGTAAAGAAAGTAAATTCATCTGTTTAAACTAGTGTTTTTTGGTCGTTCAAAATACATCCATATTTTGTTTAACCCAGTTGTTCCATAAATATGTGTCTTTGTTTAAATTTGAAGTTTTGTTTTTTATTGTGTCATAATGTTCAGATAGGATACATCCATTAATACGCTTTGTTCTTTATGATGAGCAAGAGTTCTAAATAGGACTCTGTGTAGAGATGCATGAGAAATAACGTATTCTCTCTTGCAACTGAAATCAACTAACGCACTTGAAACTTCTGATTTTATAACATTTGTTTTAGCAATCACTGTACATATGATATATAGGCTATTGACAATAATAGAAACTAAACTTTCATTAGATCCATTTTCACCTTTACTTGGAGAGATTCAAAGAAAATGTCGTACGTAACAACGTTCACAAAAGAGCGAAATAACGGACGGAAGTACCAAAAAACGTTTAATGATCTTGAGGGCTTTAGTTTTGTCGCTCAAATCTTGCATCACATGTAAGGTTCCCGATACCCAACCAACTCGTGGATACCATATCAATATACAAAA